ATTGACGAGATGGGCACGATCGCGGCGCACCCTGCGCGGCCATCGGCGTGGGGTACCTGCACGCCGTACACATTTGCTTCGGCTATTTGGGGGAACTTGCCCAGGACGTCCGAGACTTCGTTGGTCGACACGTTTTCGCTGCGCCAGCGGAAGGTGTCACCTAGGCGGTCGACGAAGTATACGCACCCGTCGGGATCTTGGCGCATCATGTCACCACTGCGGAACCAAAGATCTCCTTTTTTGAATAGATCTCGGATCATTCGTTTGTCAGTTGCGGACTTGTTCTTGTAGTATCCTGCAAAAACTGTAGACGCAGTGGCTGGATCCATCTTGTGCACGACTTCACCAGGCTCTCCGTCCTTACAGACGATCGCGAAACCGTTCTTGTCACGCACGATCTCCTCGGTGTCGATGTCGATCTTGATCCTCTTTTCATTAGCGCCATTGGCGAAGTGCCAGTATAATCCACGTATAGCAATTGCGTTTCTGCCAAATTCGCCCCTGTTCGCATTAAAGGAGGCGCCCAAGCCATCCGTGGCTGCGTAGAGCTCGTTGATGGTGTCAATCCCGAAGCGTTGCCGGAAGGTTTCCCATACGTCTGGACGCATACCATTGCCCCATGCCTTTTTCACATTGTGTTGTTTGTCCAGCGGACTGGGCGGCGCGTTGATGAGGTACCGGCAGAGTTCACCCACATACTGAAGAATATCAGCATTGGAGGCACGGACTTCGGGCCAGAATGTCTTGTGTGAGAATTTGCGGCTGAGAACAACCGAGGATCCGGCAAAGATACAGGGTGTAAGGCACAGACCGTGTGCGGCGCCGTGATAGAGTGGCAGGCAGGTATACATGCGGTTGTGGGGTTTGAGTCTAAGATATTTAGCGATGCTGCGAGCGGTGTTGAGTTCGCGGCCGCGGAGCATAACCACGCCTTTAGGCATACCCGTTGTGCCCGAGGTGTAGATGAGACCGCCTAGATCGGTAGGTGCAATTCCTTGGTGAAGGGATCTGGGTATCGGAGTGGTGTCAGTGAGAGAAGAGATAAAGGGCTCGTCGTAATAGACTATTTGTACGCCCGAGGCTTGCAGATCACTTGCACATGGCTGTACTAGATCTTGTGTTGCCCGGTCGGCGATCAGAATCCGGGCGTCGCACAGCTTAACACAGTGTGTAAGCGGGCCAGAGGTCAGGTTGCAATTGATGAAGGCGGGACAGGCACGAAGCCCTTCCAAAGCAAACCACAGCATCAGATATTCCGGACTGTTCCCACCGTCCAAGGCAACAATTTCTTGAGGTTTCACACCCAAATCTTTTGACAGCCAGTTGGCAACTTTGTGCACATCATTGAAGAATTGCTTGTAGGTCCATGATCGGTTCTCGAACATGAGAAATGTGTTGTCTGCGTTCTTGCCGGTGGCATGCTCTTCGAAGATGTGGTATATGAGCATCCGATTCTGCTGGTACCTCTCGGTCATAAAGGCCAAAGCTTCCTTCTGGTTGTGTGCCAAAGAGCCTGAACTGAGGTCATGGCGGATGAGGAATTTGGCGTCGAGGTAGGCGGCGGCAGCGAGGCCACCCGCAACGGCAGCTGCTACGGTGGGAACTAGAGGTCATGGTCAGTCGCAAGAAAGACAGGATGACAGAGAGGATAGACTTACGGCCCATTCTGTTGGAGGTGCTGCTACAGGAAATCGAACTGGCAAAGTGACATGGTCAAGTGAAGAGTCCATGATATATCGTGTCATACAACTAGGGCGATCTTGCGCGTGAGTCGGAGTCGAGCTCTGTGAGGGCCGCATTATCCGTAAACCTGCCGAGGTCGAGAGTAGAGAGACCTTGGGTGTTTGGGAAGCCCAAGTGTCCGTAGTATTCGGCACGAGCCCCACTGGCACAACCTTGGAAGTGATAGAGGGAGCTAAACCAAAATCACTGGTCATCTTTGCAGCAGCGGGTCTGGGGGCGGGTGTTGGCAAATCCTACCTGCCCAGGCTACCCCAGGGACGCCTTAGGCGACACAAGCCGCACGAGTCAAAACCGACATGAGTCTGAATGGTCGCGTCAGTTACCCTCCACTGTACGTACCTCTTACACACTGACGCACTGACACCGATGGCCGAGACGCCTGCTCTACATAATAATCACTGCTATTATTTGTTCCCTTGTACAAGTAATTAGTGTACATTATTTCTGATTTGATCGTATTTTGATTTCAAGGCCGCTTACTATATCTCAGCCTGGATCCTGGACGCATCCTGCTGTCTTGTCACACAATCCTTCCCGCGTGCCGATGTCCAATCCACCATGATGATGCTGCGTGCTGTGAAAGAGCTGGAGATCGCAGGTACAATAATGGCACTTGCAGCATCCGTCTCCTGCTTCCAACCCCTACCGCTTGCAATGCACACACAAAAAAAAAAGAAGAGAATACCCAAACCCGTGAAATCGTGTCGTCGTGATAGTTGTCACTGAGAATTTCCAGTGCCCTTGTGCGTGAAATCCTCAAACAAAGACCCTGATCCGCCCGTCGAAGGAAAAAAAATCAAAGAACAGGAGAAAAAGACCGCATTCTGCAAAGCTGTCCCTCACCACAATCACAACCACCACTTCTTTGAAATAGTTCCCATCCCGGGGCTCAGTCAGTCACAATGTTGTTCATCACCACAAGGGGTATTCCTGCCATATGTCTGGCTCCATGCTCTCGTCGTACCACATCTCACTGCCAATCACTGGTGTTCCTATGAACCCATCTTCTTCATGGATGACCATTCCCCCCTCATCCATCATCATCTGCTGTTGTTGCAGCCATTCTGGCACAAGCGGTGCCCGCCACTGTCCGATTTGCTCCATCAACTCTGTTCCCAGAAAGAAGTTTCCGAGTGCCTCAAACTGCGCATCTCCGTCCGTGTCAGCGTTGTTGACGTAAATCTCGTCGGGTCGAGGGCCCATGGAGAAGATAGGGCCAGCTTCATCAAGTGGCAGCTGCCGCGAGAAGGGCTCTTCTTGGAACGGGGTCGATGGACTAACGGGAACACGAGGGGGAGGAAGAAAGCGGCCGCACTTTGTCTTTGCCAGGAGGCTCTGCCTATTGTCGCCATTCCATTGCAGTTCGCCATTGCTCGGCCACTTGGCGACCCGTCCGGGGTACTCAGCTGACCAGATGGTGGGCAAACCCAATACTGGGCTGAGTCCATCGTTGAAGATCTTGCCATCCTCGCCAAAGACGGAGTGGATCTTGCGCTGAGACTTGGGGATTTTTGGACGAGCTTCAATCTGCGCCTTGAGCATTTCGCAATTCTTCTGCTGCTCTCGCTCGGCTAATGCCAACATCTCCTTCTTGTGTGTCAACCACTCGCCAACGTTTTGCGGAAAGATCGACGACGCCCCTGGACCCTGTTTCGTGTTGGCCTTGAAATGCTCCGGAGCAAAATGGCGGACTCGTTGTTTGACGCGCTCATATTCCTCCTTGTCCTTAATGGTTTGGCTTTTCCATGTGACAGAGGATGTATGGGATACGACATGTGATGGAACGATTGCCAGCTCCTGTTGCTGTCTGCCGAAGAACGTCTGGGTGGCTAGCTCCTTGCTATCGACGCTTGCTCTGTCATCGAAGGTGGATAATGATATTTGGTCCAGCGAGACTCGCTTTCCTCTTCTCTGTGGACCCATGGTGGAGGATATGAAAGATGATTGGTGGGGAGAATAGAAATTGGGAGGGTTGGAGATGGTTGGAACGAAGAATGTTCCGCAGATCCAGAGCGCGCGATTTCGGAGAGAGGACGAAGTATCGAGGGGCTAGGGTTGCAAACCAGGTGGTTGGTGTGGTTGCCTGGGAAGCAGAGAAGGCCAGTGAAGTTCACAAATTCACAGATAGGAAGCCCCTTGTCGCTATGTCAACCACGGGGCGGACGCTGGGAGATGGCTGATGGTTGCTGTTTGGGAGCGCTGGTCTGGAACAGCACTGCCTTAGATCTGCGTCAGGATGAGTTCCGCGGTATCGCAAGGGAAGTCGATCCTGGTAGACGTCATGGTCTGAGTTGGATATCATCTACAATAGCGGCTGTTTATATCTAAATAGGTCGCACTGCTCACAAGGGCATTCTTCCACTTTAAATGATCTTTTATGCTGCTTGCGCTGCCGGAGCTGTTCTGTGGCAAGACAAGTCACTTGACCTTGGTACGTTGCTTGTATCAGGATGACTTGGACTATTGTCACAATAACTCCGAGTGAAGCAGGGCCCAACTTCGGTTTGCCAAAGGGTTTGCCATCGCCTTGAAGAACTCGAACGAGCATATTCACTTTGATCCCCGGCGGATCTTCGGGCAGAAAGTACTCACCTGGCTGGATTCGCATCTCTCGGTGTGTCACTAAGAGATACCGGGTCACTCCCAGTCGGAGCATGTGCATGAGCACGAGCAAACGCAGGTTGACGGGTATGACTTGTGCGGGCACAGAGGTGAGGGCGTGAGATAGCCATGTCACCCGTACTGTCGATAGTCTCGCGTCCGATCATTTCCAAGTCATCGAGATCGCGCAAGAGATGAATCAATAACCGCGGCACTTCTCACAAAGTCTGGGGAAAAGGTAGTGACAGGCAAGTGATATCTGAAGCGGAATTCAAAGGAGGCGGGCACAGCGTGGACAGAAAAGGGTGCTAAGGAGAAGAAGATCTTGATGATGTGGGACAGGATAATACCTATCCTGCGGTCTAGACGGCTAAACTTCCTCTTACGAAGCAAGACAAGAGATATCTCCTAACATCTTTGATGTACATGGGGTGAGGAGATGCGCAAAACAAGGAAGGGGAAGCTTGACGTTGACAGCCTTGCACGTGATGATTTGCTACTTACGGTGAAGCATACCTAGGTTATTTGTCTTCTATGCCTCTTCCATACACGAAAACGCGTCCCCGCGTTTTCTCATACATCCATTATTCCTTTCATTATCAACGTGTCTTTCCCGCAACGGCAGAATCTACCAAAGTGGTCATCCCAAGTACACTATGCCGGCAGTTGAGCTGCGTACAACTGTTCTCTCCCATGAGACGAATGGCACAAATCCTAATCCGCTACCGCCCCTTCTGCACACACCAGCGGGACTGGCGATTATGGAGATCCAAGGCAAAATCCATGGACCTCCGCAGGATCTGGCGACAGAAGATCCAGAGCAGTCACCTGCTGTGCACCCTATTGGACGGCTTGAGTTCCCCCTATACAACCCCCAAGAAGCCAATGAGGGCAAGTGGATGAAGAAAGTCTATCTGTATGTCGGGAGGCATCAGAGATTGACTGGCGAGGTTAAGAAGTTGGCAAAACCCATGGCCGTCCTCCGCAAAGTCGATGAGAATGATCTAGGAAGTGAGGGGGAAGAAGCGCTGGAGATTGTGGATGTGGTCAAGTTCAAGCTGTTGTTCAGTGCAAGGCCAGAACCCGTCGGGGAATGAAACACGCGTGTATTCATCTTCGCCTTTGCCTCCAAGGACAAAGGCTACTACGAAACTCCAGAGGGTACCGATGACAACGCTGGAATGCACTCGGATCAGACTTGTGCGGACGAGACTGGCTCTTATTCAGGGGTTTTGGAGGAGCCAATCAACAGCACCGACTCTAATCGGCCCTTTTCTACCCAAACGACCTATCAACTTTTGCGCCAACAACTTGACTTTGATGCCAATCCCCACACAATCCTTTCTAGCCGTACAAGGACAACGAAGACAGCCTTTTTGAGTGACAAGTTCAGCACTATCCACATCTGCTCGGCTGGCGGAGCCGATCGAGTGGACTGGTTTCCATTCGTGGAAGCAGGTTTCTAACCGATGGACAAAGTAAGAGAAAATCTGATCAACCTCTCTTTAACATATCGCTACAGGCATCCTTACCAATGGACCAGCCTACTTCACCATCACCAGCGTTCTTCAGATGGCGTCCTCAATATCACCTCCAAGCAAGTCACGGCTGGATGAATGACCCCTGTGCCGCAGCCTATGATCCGTCGACAGGCATGTACCATCTGTTCTTTCAGTGGAACCCTCGACGAGATGAGTCAGGTTCGGTCGTTTGGGGTTCGATCTGTTGGGGCCATGCTACCTCGACGGATATGGTGAAGTGGAATGTTCCCCAAACCCCGAGCATCGAGCCTGGGGCTACTGTCGATGAGTGGTATGACGCGAAAGGTTGCTTTACAGGCTGCTTGGTTCCTACCAGTTGGGACGGCGAGATTGGAGCTGGAAAAATGACGATGTTTTACACTGGTATAAGTCGACTACCTCTGCACTATACTCTTCCATACATACGACAAACAGAGACACTGGCCGCTGCTCACTCACTAGACAGTGGTCTCACATGGACTAAATTCACGAAGAACCCAGTCCTACTGAAGCCACCGTCAACCCTCGATGTGACAGGATGGCGTGATCCATTCGTTGCAATTTGGCCTTCCATGGCCAATCTCCTCGGCCACGATAGGAGCCAGTTATATGGAATGATCTCCGGGGGAATCAGAGACTGCTCACCAGCTGCATTTCTTTACCGGGTCAATCGTTCAGACCTAGCAGAATGGAAGTTCATCGGTTCCCTGCTTAATGTTGGATTAAACCATTCTCTATCCCGCTGGAGTGGTGATTTAGGTATCAACTGGGAATGCGCTTGCTTCATGACCCTGGAGAACGAAAAGGATGATGAGAGCAGAGACTTCATCATCGTGGGCTGCGAAGGATCTCAGCCAAATGCTACCCACAATGAAGATTCATGCTTCATACATCGTCATCAGCAACCAAGGGAACTGCGCCGCACAGCAAGGTCTCTGCAGTGGATGTGTGGAATTCTTCAAAGTACAGACGACACGATCTTTGACACCAATATACAAACCAGGCTTCCGAAAATGGACTACCAATTCGGAGGCCGTCTCGATCACGGCCTTCTCTATGCTGCAACAACCTTGCGTGACCCCCTGAGCAATAAACAAATTGTTTGGGGTTGGGTCACAGAGGAAGACTTGCCACAACGATTGGTCGATGAACAGGGATGGAGTGGGATGACGTCCCTGCCTAGAGAAGTGACACTTCTCACTCTAAAGGGTGTGACGGGTACCCTGAGAAGCAAGTTGCAAGATATTACGTCGGTACAGGTTGAGCGTGAAGAGTCAAAAGACGGGGCGCAACATAAATTCAAGATTCGCACGCTGGGCATATCTCCAGCTCGGTGTCTCAGGTCCCTTCGCAACAGCGCGAGGGTGGTTAGGCCTGTGCGTCGCTCACAGCACCTCAATTCAACAGGCGACACATTCATAGACATCCAGACGCACCGCTTTGAACTCATCTCAACTTTTGCCCTATCCCACGCTTGCGAGAGAATTGGGCTTAGCATATTCCATGAGCCTGGCTCACGGGAAGCTCAACAGGATGGAATATCCCCGCTACTAAGCACGAACACGGCGACGACAATTTCTTTCCTCCCCCACAAAGAGACTGTCCGAATTGATCGACCCATCACTAACACCATCGATGGTGAGGAGATCAACACGGCCCCCGAGATCGCACCATTCACTTTATTCACGTTCCTCCCTGCTCAAAGGGACGAAGTTGGCCAGGTTGAAGCCGGGAGACACCTAGAGCCGGAGATTGAGAACTTGGAACTCCACCTCTTCTTTGACGAGTCCGTGCTCGAAGTCTTTGTCAATTCCCGGTGCGTGATCACGACGAGGATCTATCCACCAGGCAAGACGTGTTTCGGAGTGAGGTTCTGGGCGAAGGACAAGGATCGCGAAGACGACATCGAAGATGACAGCAAGCAGAGTAATACACCTCGACAGCAAGAGGAAGCAGGCCACACAGACCTCAAAGCCATGTGTTCAAAGGGTCAGCCGAGAACTGCGAGCAGCCTGTCTACAAAGTCTCGGATCGTGCAAGCCATGGCGTGGGACGGTCTGAGTGCCGATGTCAGAAATACGTTTCCTTGAGTTGACGATATTCAATATCATTTGCAAGTACAAAGGGGTCTAGAGGTCGATGTGTTGAGTAGAGAGAAGCGCTAGATATTTTAGCCCGTCGACAAAGGGGACGTGGTTAGGTGGTTCCCATTCCGGCTAGCTGACTCGTTCATAAAGCGGCATTACTCTTGTCCCATTACGTTGTAATCTTGGCTGTGGGTCGCGATTGGCGGCTTCGCAGTGACCGCATCGCCAGCTGCAGCTGCAGCTCCGATTTGGTGTGTCCAACCTCGACTGCGAAACTCTGCTGCGCTGTTCTTCTGGAGAATAGAGATCCGTCGTCCTTAGTTGCAGCTGTTGGCTCGCCTGCGCCATCGTCCCTTTCCGATTCGTCCATTGGCCGTGGGTGGCTGCTGAGGAAGCTTCCTTTCCTTAAGCAAAGGGAGTTGCTTCTGTCTGTGAACATTCACCCACCCTCTCTTCCACTGCTATCGTCTTGCACCCCGCCAGGCTGCCAGAATGGCCGAGATAGATCATCGGATGGCTTCCATCAAGCCCAGGTTGAAGTACAACACAATCGGTGGTGTCAATGGGCCTCTGGTCATTCTAGACAATGTACGTTGACGAAACGGCTCGAAGCTCCGACGAATTGGTCGCTAACAGGTGGTCCTTCCAGGTCAAATTCCCCAGATACAACGAAATCGTCAGTCTAACGTTACCTGATGGGTCCTCGCGGTCTGGTCAAGTTCTCGAGGCAAGAGGTGTGTTTGTCACAAGATACAAAGCGCCGACAAAGTGGTGGAAAGTTGACAAAATGTCCCCGCAGGCAACAGAGCCATTGTGCAGGTGTTCGAAGGCACTTCCGGCATTGATGTCAAGAAGGTGAAGGTTTATCGCTACTCTACACGACACCATACTCACTCAGGCGCAGACAAAAGTCGAGTTCACGGGTCACAGTCTGAAGATTGGCGTCTCAGAAGACATGCTGGGGCGCATCTTCGACGGGTCAGGAAGAGCCATCGATAAGGGTCCCAAAGTGCTGGCAGAGGACTATCTCGATATCAATGGAAGTCCCATCAACCCCTATTCAAGAGTATGTTGTCCGTGGTTTGTTGCTGCCTCGATTGCTGACCTGGGTAAAGGTTTACCCCGAGGAAATGATCTCGACAGGTATCTCTGCCATTGACTGCATGAATTCTGTCGCTCGAGGTCAAAAGATCCCCATCTTTTCCGCTGCTGGTCTGCCTCACAACGAAATCGCCGCTCAGATTTGTCGACAAGCTGGTCTGGTCAAGCAACCCACGAAGGGTGTCCATGATGGTCACGAGGAAAACTTCAGCATTGTCTTCGCCGCCATGGGTGTCAACATGGAGACCTCGCGTTTCTTCACTCGGGATTTCGAAGAGAATGGCTCCATGGAACGAGTGACTCTGTTCTTGAACTTGGCCAACGATCCCACCATCGAACGTATCATCACGCCTCGTCTCGCCTTGACTACTGCCGAATACTATGCTTACCAACTCGAGAAGCACGTCCTGGTCATTCTCACCGATTTGTCTGCATATTGCGATGCCCTTCGAGAAGTCTCGGCCGCGCGAGAAGAAGTGCCGGGTCGTCGTGGGTACCCTGGTTACATGTATACTGATTTGTCCACCATCTACGAGCGAGCCGGTCGGGTGGAGGGAAGAAACGGTTCCATCACGCAGATTCCCATCTTGACCATGCCCAACGATGATATTACCCATCCTATTCCCGATTTGACGGGCTATATCACGGAAGGGCAGATCTTTGTTGACCGTGGATTGCACAACAAGGGTATTTACCCACCTATCAACGTTCTGCCTTCCCTGTCGCGATTGATGAAGTCCGCCATTGGTGAGGGGTTGACGAGGAAAGACCACGGTGATGTGTCCAACCAGCTGTACGCCAAGTATGCCATTGGCCGTGACGCCGCAGCCATGAAAGCCGTCGTCGGTGAAGAGGCCCTCAGCGCGGAAGACAAACTCTCTCTGGAGTTCTTGGAGAAGTTTGAGAGACAATTCATCGCGCAGAGCCCGTATGACAAACGGACTGTGTTTGACAGCTTGGAGATTGGTTGGAACTTGCTCCGTATTTTCCCCAAGGAGTTGCTCAATCGCATCAATCCCAAATTGCTGGATGAGTTCTACGCCAGAAAGGCACATGGGAAGAAGAGCAACAAGGACACAAGGGACAATGAGGGTGGGAACAAGCAGGTGAATGGGGAGCCCAATTTGTTGGATGACTAAAATAGGTCAGGAGCGAGGATGGAGCGAAAGGACAGTCCATGCTACCGACCTGGTTTAGAGGAACTGAGAGCGTATTGTGACCGAGTAACTGCGTATGGTCAGTGTGATCAGCTAGACAGGAGCTTTGCCGTTGTCGCAGTAATTGTTTTTGGGGTGGAGGCACGACGGTCTGAATATGATTAGTTGGAGTCTGCACAGAATATGTTCATATAGAGCAGCTGTACCGGTGATTAAAGAGGACTGGATTCGA